CACCCCCCCCCTCCTTCCTCGCCCACCTCCAGCTCGCCGTTGTTGGACTCACTTGCTCTTGCGGTGGGAGACTCAGTCGTGGGACAGACGCAGTTTGCCGAGGCGACGCGGGTGGCGAACAAAGAGCTGATGGAGATGTCTACTAGCAATGGGACGAGATGGCGAAAGGGCGGAAAGACGATGGTGGTGCTGCACGTGGCCAACGGCAAGTATCAGGAGTGGCAGATGCGAACGGCGCTGTACTCGCTGCGCAAGTACAACCCAGAGATCAAGATTGTGACGCTGTTGGCCATGCAGAACAAAGTGGAGGACAATCCTTATGCATGGGAGAAGGATTGTAGCCTGGGACCGTACTCAGGCTGTCCGATGGAGGTCTTCTACGAGGACTACACCTTTACCGCTGGCGACGAGTTTGTGGTGTACAACCGGGCTCGGCACCTGATGAAGTTCATCTCGGAGCTGCGCGAGCGGCAGGCTCAGGGCATCGACGCCGAGTACACCAACATCATCCTGTGGGAGCCGGACATGACGTGCCTGCGCTCGCTCGATGGCATTGTGGCCGAGCCGGAGAAGCCCATCGGCCATCAGTTCTGGTACATGGAGGAGTACCACATTCCGCGGTGCAACAACATTGCAAAAGCTTGCTCGATGCGGACTGACAAGCCGCCGCCGGTCGGCCTGCCCATGGCCATTCACGTTGACGACCTGCACACTGTTCTCGGCCTCTGGATCCAGAAGACCATCCTTGTCCGCACCTCGGATTGGGGCAAGGACCCGGACTCGGGCACCTCGTCGTGGATTGCCGACATGTGGGGCCTGGCCTGTGCCTTTGCCGACCTCGGCTGGGAGGTCGAGTACACCACCCGCATCGGCCCACACTCGGGCATGGACTTTGACCACACTGTGTATCCTGAGACTTGGGCCGTCCACTACACCTTCCTCTCTGAGTTCAAGGACAAGGGCTGGCGTCTGGAGAAGCGCGACTGGTGGATGGGTGCGCCGCTGCCGCGCCCATTCCCGCCCATTCCTGACGAGGCCAACGACTTGCAGAAGCGCTGGTTTGCCGAGTGGCACGAGGCGCTCATGGCTACGTACGAGCCCGACTCGCGCGAGACGTACTGGTAAACGATGGCGGGCGTCAGCACGGTGGCGTGGTTCCGACCCGGTTGACGTAGAGGTTGGCGCACGCCGCGTGGTACGGTGAGCCCGACCAGAAGAGAGACGGCGTGCCCTCAACCGGGCAGGTGCAGAGGGTGCAGAGCGACTCGGCCACTTGCGCTCTCGAGAGCGGGCGCTGTGCATGCGCGAGCGCGTCGGCCATGCACGCATGGAGGTGGGTGGAGCTGAGAGCGGCCCAGCTGGCCTCGATCTTACCCGCAGCGGCAGCGACCGACGCCCGCGCTGGAGCAGAGACCTCCGCCACCATGTGCTCGGCGGCGGACGCGATGCGCCGGCCGACAAGGAGCATGCCGGCGAGGCCGCGAATGTAGCTGAGGAACTTGGGCTGCATAAGGACTTCGTCGAGCACGGCGTCGTTGCCCAGCACCGGCGCGAGGACATCGGCGGCAGCGGCGAGCTCGGCCTGGACTGCTGCGAGAGTCGCGGTCCATGGCTCATCAAGCGACGTCGACTCGTTGGCGCCCGACGCGAGGAGGGCGGTCATGGCATAGAGCGCCTTGCGATGCTTGTCGGCCACGTCTCGGAGCTGAGCCTCGCTCGCGAGCGCAGGAACAGCCAGCGCTGCACTCGGGTGGTTCCGCTCGAACCGTGCCTGCGCTGTGGCGGGCACGCCGGCCTCTGCCAGCACGTCCTTCATCTGGGCAAGCGTCTTGTGCGAGCGCGGCGGCGGCGAGCACCACGACGCCACGTCCGGCCGCAGCGAATCTGTCGAGAGCTGCGTCTCCGGCGCCTTGTTGAGCAGGGCGAGCACGTCGGCGGCCTCCTCGAACCGCTCCTGTGCAATGAGCTGCGCCACAAGCTCAGCCTTGGTGAAACGCGGGGCAGCCGGGGCAGCCGCGGAGGCAGGAGCAGCGTCGGCGGGCGGCTTCTCCGATGGCGGAGAAGCCGGCGAGGAAAAGTCGAACAGTGCCTCATCGGGGTTCGGGGGTCCGGTGGGGAGCACGGCGCTCCCGCTGAGGTCGATGGCATCAAACGCGCCAAACGCCGGCGTTTCGGGGCCGGCCGGCGTGTCAAAGCCCGCAGCAGCCTCGGTGCCCGACGGCGTGTCGAGAGAGTCGGGGAGTGGGAACGGCGCGTCCACGCTCTCCGTAAACGCTTGGTCGCCATCCCCAGCTTCGAGTGTGGCTGCCTCGAACGGTTCGAAAGCGGCAGTTGTGGGGGGGGCCGGCGGCGCGGAGGACTCGGCGTCTGGCTCAGCAAATGGGGTAAACGCAGCATCAGCCGGGTCTGGGAAGGCTGCAAACGCGGTAAAGGAATCGACGGTGGCGGCGGCAGGGGAAGCGGCCTCACCGTCAGAGTCTGAATCGGCAAAAGGATTGAAAGGGGCATCCGTCGTGGCCGAGGACGCCACAAACGCTTCGTACTTGTCGTCGTCGGTGGGCTCGGCGGGAGCTGATGCGCCAGGCTCGGCAGGGGCTGCTGTGGCAGACATGGCCTGGGCATCAGATTGGTCGAAGGCGGCAGGCGGAGCGTCTTCCGGGGTCGTCAACGTCGAGAACGTGGTGCACTTGTCGTCGGTGACCGCAACGGCGCGCTCGGCGTCGAGGGACGTCGTGGCTGCCGCAGCAGGTTCTGCCTCTGTGTCCGAATCCGCAAACGGATTGAAAGGGGTGTCAGCAGTTGCTGACAAGGCGGTGAGCGCAGCGTACTTGTCGGCGCTAGTGGTGGCGCTCGGATCGGGGCTGGCGTCGGATGTGGCGACGGCCGGCTCAACAACGGCCGGCGCAGATTCCGGGAAGGCAGCAAACGGGGCAAAGGCTGGCGCACTGCCGGTGCTTGCGGTCTCAAACGCACCAAAGCCCGGATCCGATGCGGATGGCGATGGCGCATCAAAGGCTCCAAACTCGACAGCAGCTGCCAGAGGCTCGGGTTCGGGCTCGGGTTCGGGCTTGGGCTCGAGCTCTGCTGCGGCACTGGCAAACGACTCCAGTGTCAGGACCGGGGCCGGCGCGGCCGCCCCGGGCTGCGAAAATAGCGAGGAGTAATCTGCAGTTGCCCAGTTGGTTGCCTTCTTCGACTGCTCCCGGGCTGGAACCGACGCGCGGGCGGGTGCACGCGGGCCTGCAGCCGCAGCCTGTGCCAGCGCCACAGCAGACTTGCGCTCGGCCATTCGCACCTGCATCGGCACTGCGTCGTCGATGGTTCCGTCTAGTGTCTGCCGCATCAGAGCATCTAGATCGAGCTTCTTCTGCTCGGCGGCAACCAGAGGCGGATCTGCAGTGTCAGCGACTGGAGTTGAGGTGGCGGCGAGGGGAGCAGCGGCGCCCCCGTCAACCTCGGCTTGCACGGGCGCATCAGCAGTCGCGAGAACCGGGGCAGCTACGGCTGCAGAGGTGGGGAGCGAGTCGAGCTCAAAACGAGCAGATCCATCATCCGGGCTCGGCGCCGAGGCTGCTACGAATCCACCAAAGCTGTCTGGGCCTGGCGTGGCCGCCGATGTAAAACCCCCAAATGCATCCGGGCTGGGCACAGGCTCGGCGCTCACAAAGCCACCAAACGCATCCAGGGACGCATCCAGGGACGCCGCCGCTGGTGACCCAGCTGCTAATGATCCAGCTGCTGCTGATCCAGCTTCCGCCGACATGCTTGGGCTGGGCGCAGACTCGGCGCCAACAAAGCTACCGAAGGCATCGGCCGACAGCCCGGCCTTAGCCGACGTGTTCGCATCGGCCACTGGCGGAGCCGCAAAGCCACCAAAGACCACAGGCGCCCCAGCCGGCCCCGCAAAGGCACCAAACTCGGCTTGGGCATTGCTGCTGGCGCTCACAAAGCCTCCAAAGGCCGCCTCAGTTTCGGTCGGCGGGACCGATGCCATTGCTTGCGGTGTAGCTGCCGCCGGCGCCAGTGGTGCCGCCGCAGACGAACTTCCTCCAAGGCCAGGAAACGTGCCCAAGCCTGCCGTGCCCAAGCCTGCCATGCCCCTGCCATGCCCATACCCATACCCATACCCATGCCCGTGCCCATGCCCATGCCCATGCCCATACCCAGGCCCATGCTCATGGCCTGAGGGTCTGGCTGGCCGTGGCTCTGGCCCTGGCCTGCCTGCGCCTGCGGTAGCCCTTGCTGCTCGGCCCGTATCTGCTGCACAATCCGCTCTTGCATCGCTTGCAGCTGCCGCTGTGCATGCAGCATGGCCATCATCTGGTCCTGCTGTCCGGAAGTAGCTCCACCGCCCCCACTTGAGCCAAACATCGCTCTCACTCTCTTGGTTGTGGTCGCGGTGTCTTTCGTCTGCGGAGACGGGTGCCCGCGGGCGCCCGGCAGCCGCCACCGCGCTCGGTTCAGCCACAGGTATGTAGGGTATCGTACTTCAATCATGTGTGCCTAGCCACTGCCAGGCGAGGCTCGGCCATCTACGACTCGGAGGCCTCGAGGAGCGGCGTGAGCGGCGCCAGATCCTTCTTGGCGGTGATGAGCTCGTAGCGGTTGACAAAGGCCATAAAGTGGGCAAACGAGGTGTCAAGGCACTCGATGAGGCCGAGCTCACGCATGCGGTCCTTGTGCGAGTAGTACATGTGTGCGTAGACCCGCGAGAGGCGCTTGAACGACGGGAGCACAACCTTCTTGCGGAACGACGACGAGAACTCGGCGTCGTCGCGGGTCGGGAACTTGCTTTCGCTCTCGATCATGCCCTGGATCCACTCAAAGAGGTACGTGCAGTACTGCGGCGCGGTGACCTTGATCGGCTTCTTGATCTTGACCCCGTCGGCCCAGAGGTAGTCCCAGTTGGCCGCCGACATGACCGGACACGTCACGTCTGTGCATGAGTGCGAGAGCGTCCCGTACAGCACCTTGACATGCGTGAAAAAGTCGTACGTGTTGATGGCCAGCCACTCGTTGAGGTCCTCGCCCTCGGGCAGCTCCACCAGCAGGTCCACGTTGAGGCGCGACGAGACGAGCGTGGCAAACTTGAACGGTGTCGCCCCATCCTTCTTCTTGTTCACCTTGATCGACTGCCGCGGGTACCTGTCAACCCACCACATCGTCCACCCCATCCGAGTTCCCTGCGTAAGCCACAATCCTTCCCCTCACCCGCTGTCGGCCTAGCTCTGCTGGCTGCCGCCACCCGCACCCAGCCCAGACGAGCCGCACTGCCCGCGGCACCCTCCCCCCCCCTCACCCCGCCCCCCCGTCCGCCATCTCTATCCTCCCCATTCTCCACAAGACCTCCCTCCCCTCTCTCCTTCCTCCCCTCTCCCCCCTCATCTCATTCATCTGTCTCCCATTGCCCCCTCCTTCCCCTCCAGCAACCTCTGCTGTCGTTGCCCAGGCACGCGCACCCGGCCGACTACCGAAGAATTCGCCAGGCCGCAGCCAGCCAACCCCTCATACCCCCTCCTCCACTACCGTCTTGCCTCCACTCCCTTAAC